GGGGGGGAGGAGAAGGTTACCGGTAATATATCGCCCAAATGCGCGCAGCGTGTCACGAGAGTGTTAAAAAATCGATGCGCGATAATTAAAAGCGCGGTCGGAGGTACGCCGTTTTTAAACCCCGAAGTGCCCGGGCCACTCTATTAATCCCTCTCCCTTGCCCCCCCCGCCCTTCCCTTGCCCTTCTCGGTCTATTAGCCGAAGAGCGACGCTTAATGAAACATTTTTATCTCGCGGGCGAAATATGTACGTAATATATGGCAAACTCGTGTTTAAAAGCGCCACTTATCTTTCATCGCGTATATCTCCGCGCGCGAGCGCGAGGATGAGACTATTTAACTATGTAATATGCGCAAGCCTCACCGCGTTAACCATTACTTAGGCGAGTAAGGCTGAACTTGCGAAACTAATAAACAACTATCTAGCATTATACGATGCTCGTTATACGATGCACGGAGCGGTTCGATCCGTCCATTTGGGTTAACGTCACTAAGAAGAGCAAAGCAAACTTGCCAAATCAATAAACAGCCGGGCATTGCGATCCCTGTTATACAGTCTCCCCGGTTATGTTTCTGCGATATGGATTGTTTATATTCGTCATTGTGTCACGACAGAACTGTGCGCCCGGGCGGCAAATATTCCGTTCACGTAATGGTCGCGGGGACTTGATTCAGGGATTCTCCTCCTAATTCGAATACGAATGTCTATGACAGAACGTTGGCTGAACTCGAGACGACTGAGCGATTCAAATCTTCACAAGCTATATCCGCATTCTGATACCCGCGCAGAATACCCGAATTATATAATTCCATTCGCATATATGTGATATTAAGATTTTTTTGTTGATGTTTATCATATCCGGAAAAAAATAATTCTAGTTTTTCTGAAATAATTCGCATGATTTTAAATTAAGTAATTAAAATTTTTTCTTATTTTATTTATACATCCACCAACGCATATTATATTCTTCATATTTCGACAATTTTTATTTCGTTGCCATTTAGCGAAATATTTTACTCCCCCACGGTTGTGTGTGAGTTGAGAAACCCTCGACTCTGATCGAACGGATGTAATCGAAATGAATGAAAACTGTCGTAGAGACAAAGCCGTTGCCAAGAAGATTGGTAATAAATCTTGACGATAACGATGAAGGTTACGAGCCGTCTGAATACGTATCTAATTTCTCAACCAGATTCCATTTCCCTTACAATCCAAGAGCTAAGAACGGAAGGATCGACTCTACGCAAGTCGCTTCAATCTGCCAATAAAATTAATCTCGGAATTACTGGTTATCTCATATACAGCGAAAAATTGGTAATAAAAAATTGCGACTTCCACCGCGGAATATATATGTCGAAGTCTCGGCTCGAGTATCATCGGGCAAGTGGTTTTCTCAAGCGTGCCGCGATCACTTCAGATTTGCGCGTCTCGCGAAAAAGAGGAGGCCAATTGTTTGTCGCGAATGTAGATGGAATGGACACACATTGAATCCGCAAACGATCTCACTCTCGCCCAGTTTGGTGCCGCCTTCCTTCGCTGACATTGTAGGTTTTCTAAGTCAAGATTGTGCGCTATTGATCGTGCGGCCGTTGCACGACGGCCGCTCTCGCCTTATTCCGCCGATCTGGGTCACTTCGACGTACGTTCCATGCGTCTCACCTATTGACCCATTTGTACGGCCGCGGGGCGCGGGCTGCTGGGATGTTGTTGCCGAAGGGCAGGAGGAGGAAGTGGTTAACTATATTGTTTCACGGTTTCGGGCGCGGATTACAAGGTCGGTGGCGCCGGTATCGCGACGGATTAATTTCGGTACTCCCGGACACTTACGCTGCACCGCTGACCAACTGACCCTAATGCGAAGGCCACGGGATACTGGACGATATTTTCGGCACGCTGGATAGCTCTCCTAATTCGGAATAATGTGACCCTGGTCGTGGTTGTGCATCGTAAGAAAGTACCAGGAAATGTCTCAATTTATCAATTTAAAGTTATTT